CAGCCAAGTAGGTTTCCATGAAAACCTACAATCAACCACAGACTAAAGCACATAAAACCACCAATTCCCCTATCAATACATGCATCGTATATAAACACGTCCGGCAGCACGCACCAAAGACATGAACTAGGCACCTCGCATGTAAGTGCAAAGTGCGTTTTGCTTTTTCTGCTCGATGTGGCTTCTCTGCTCCCTGTGTGCTCCGAGCCTGAGATTTTTATGGTGCGCTTAAAGCCGTAGTTTGGAAGGTTACCAACTAAAGCGATAAATCGAACTTCGCAGACAGCTCAGGGTGTTTGCGTGGATTGGCCAACTGGCAGACTTAGAATCGGGCTGCAATGGCTTCTTTTTAATGTGGTCCATATAGCAAACACTGGGGTCCGAGACAGTGTATTGGCACGATTTCCGGCCGCAACAGGCACCTCTAAAGGTAATTTGTTTGGGTCCCTAGGATAGAAGTGCGTCTACCTATTTTACTTCAACGCCGTCATGAAAGGTGACTGGTTGAGTTTAATGTAGTTGGCATGCCTTCGTTTATGTTATTGGCGTTCCTTAATAGCCCAACCCGTTCTACATCCCATTATCTTCTCACTAGTCTGGCGGTGCGATCAAGTCATCTTTTCGGCTACTGGCCGAGAGCTCACATACGCCAGCATATTATCAGCCAATAAGCATGACGGATCACGTGATACCCTATCAGGGCGAAAAGCAGCATGTGCCACAGTATACTTTATTTAGATTCGTCTGCGCTGGCGTTCGCGTTCTCAGAGCGAATATGACATCCCTACATTTTACAGCCAACCTTGAAGGACATTGTGGTGATCAGAGTACTAGAAAGTTCATAATCGTTTTGTCGCACAATCAAGTCGGCTCAGTAAAGATCACCCCTACGCAGATGTTAATAGTTTTGCTCAAAACAGACTGAGCACTGGTAGTTTTTAAAACCACTAAACTCGACTCAAACTAATGTCTTTTGAACTTGGTATTGGTATACAGCCGCTAGACACTTCATATGAAATAAATCACAAAAAAACGCTTTCAGGCCAACGCTACCAGGTCACAGAAAAACATGCCTTATAGACTCTCGTTCTAGATCTACTTTAGTCCCTCCGTTTGCCTTATAAGGGAAAAAGTATTAATTCTTCGGATTTAGGTAGTGTATTTAGGTCTACCCGGTACGAAATAGGTGATCATGAAAGAAAAGCCCCGCAGAGCAGACCGCTTGCTTCGCCCTTCCTTTTAACCCTTAAAGTCATTTATGAGAAGATAGACAAACAGAATATCTACAAAGAATAGTTATAGTAGATATTTGCAGCATACTTAATACCTCGGCTACTCATACCTCAAACTGACACGAATAGACCCAAGATTCAAAGTAAGATGTTTGCCCCTGACCATTTGAATCGGGAGCTCCTGTACTAATTTACGATTCAATGCCCCGCCACCTGTGTTTTCAAAATTCGATAGTTGCTTACCACACATTTAGTCATCTCAAACAGATGACTTGCAGCAAGGTTGCTATTGCGTGGTTTTCAGTCAAAATATGACTCAAACCTGAACCCACCTCCCTAGCGGATGTGTTAGATATCAGCAAAAACCACAAAAAATGGACCTCTGTTGAAAAGATCAGACTAGCTGACACTGTCAGGACTGCTAATCACCGAGAAGACGCAAAGTTAGAAGGGTTGCACTGTGCGAATTCACTCTACATACGATATGGCAACTAAACCTTAAGTAAAGCCCACCACATCCGAACACACCTCAGTCAACGATAACCTCAAAGAGTGCACACGATTGTCGAAGTAAGCCAGTTTGACAAACCTTACAACCCAGAGATCAAACTTACGGTAGCAGCGCCACAGCTAGATACGATACCCCGGTAGAGGGGGCATTTTGTCCAGCATCCCAATCCATCGGAACGAAGTTTTCGAAACAGAACAGTACCTCATACATAAAGCACTACTGTGCGGCCAGCAATGAACCCAGCCATCCTAAGGTCTGCACTTTTTGCAGTAGTATTGTAGGAGGTAGATATGACGACTGTTCGCCGCAACAACGACACCTGGTTGTCGAAGTGCCAGCTAGCCAGAGTTAAGATACACCAGTTGTGACGCACATGTCTTCATCAAGGCCTATAAGTTTTTCCCAAGCATACGTAGATACCTTCAAAGCTACACCCAAGTCTCTGTGATTGTTCATCTAACTTGTGATCTCAGCAACCACAGGGCCTCCCACATACAATACCTGGAATATTTCCATTGAAGTGACGGAGACCGGACGCCAGACTTACGCAGTACGGAAACCATTAGACACTCCACTTGGCACAGTACGTGGTGAAAGCATCGCATTTTATTTTTAAATCTGCATCTAGTAATAGAGTTTACAACAAAGTTTATAATTGAAACGTTTTATTTTGTATTTACAGACATTTTCGAAACACGACAAAATAAAGCTAGGTTTGTGAACAAAATAGGGCTGAAGCCCAAAAGCAGCTAAAGGGAATAGGCGGGATTCTGATATTACGAAATACAGACCGGGCGGACAGGATATTCATGTGTACAACAATATGTGACATAAAACCACCAAGCATTCTCAAATGCTTCATGAAAGCCATGTTGTGCTCAGAGAAGAACCACGTTTCTGTCATGCGAACGATTAGTTGCATCCGCCACGCATAATATGATACGACCTCGAAGTCGCCGAAGCTTTTCTGTGTGACGTCTTGAAACACAAGCCTCCGAGTCGGAGTGGAATAGATGAGCTAGATGTTCCTTGCGGAGGTGCTCAGTGTTATCACAGATCAAGTGCATGCGATACACGTTTCAAAAAAAAACCATTATAATCGTTGCGCTCCTCAAGCACGCTGCTGCCTGTGGCATTTTGCAACTCCATCCACTCTATACACCCGTACTATAAATGCTGGATCAAAAGGGACAAATGCATCTTTGTAAGTCAAGCCTTTTCCGACACTGCTGCCTGAGTGGGGCGCAAAAGCACGATTTGAGAGTAGTACACCATCGCTAATAATATAACCCTGAAAGCAGCCGTAAGCGTTCGAAGGAAAAAATCAGAAATCCACAGAAAAGTCATATCGAAGGTAAACCAAATATACACAGGAAAATAAAAAAAAGAGAAAGCCGACCGACCAGGCAAATAAAAGCCTCCCCGGCGTAATAAAATCTGATCAGTGGGCAAGTGAAGACGCAACAGCTACAATCCACCGTTCGGAAGGGAAGTTAGAAAATCGACTCCGGGACGAACTACGCAGATGACATAAATGCATCACAGAACTTTTCGGCGGTTCCTCGAAATATGTACACACGCTTGACTTAAATGAAGCATAAGAGATTAGCTGAGAGGTGGAATATTAGTCCAGTCAACTGCTCTTGTGTCCACTCATGGAGCCTTCGGGAGAGGTTCTGCCAGAGTGGTCAGCGCTGTGGGTTTTGTTGCGTTGGGTGATAGGTATGCAGGAATTTGCGTAAAACCCGTTCATTTCTGGCACGGGGCTCGATCCGTTAACATGCATGAAGGTGTTTGTTGAGCCATTAGGACAGTAATTAAGTCCATAGACTAAGTTGACTATGTGGGATTCCAACTTTCCATCAGAATGTTCCTAAGCAATTAAGTTTGACCAATGTAAAATCATACCTCTAGAAATCGGAAGAAGGTCTCCCCGGTCAACATGGCGTCACTGCCGGCTTGGTGCTGCAAACCTATTCGAGGGACGTGTAGTGCATCAGCAAGTTCCTGAAGACCACCTTTGAGGAACTTGTGCTCGTTCATCATGGCTTTCAGATCAATTATGCGCGGGAAAAAGATGGTCAACATCTTCTGAAACTCGACGAAATTCTCCGGCATCTTAAGCCAGTCCGTACAAATTTTCATCATGTACGCAAAATCATAAGCACTAAGAGTAAAAGGCATATAGATTACCTTACCTATGAAAGCCAATCCAGGTTATGTTTTCGTTGAGAGCCAGACCACTGGCGAGGAAAGCCTCTGCAAACTCCTGGAGCTCCACTCCGTTCATTTTTAGCTTTTCGAAGTCAATCCCACACAACTCCAGGAGCTGAATAGAGTCGGCTGCGTGCGTCTCGTTGTCGACGTTCCATTTGAGATTAAATTGGACGGTAGAAACTAAATCCACGGATTGACCACGTTCACCAAAGAAGCTGAAACCGATCTGGATAGGCCGCAACATGTCAATATTGACCTTGATGTTGTGGTACGCCTGCTCAAAACTGTTTGTATACTCCCCAAAAACCTTCGCGACGACGCCAGGGAATTCGGTGTCAACAGCGACAAAACGCGAGTTTCGTGCTAGCCTCCGGACAAGTCGCATACCTTCTTGGAAGTTATGAGCCCAGACGTCCCAAACTCGCACCATTTGAGGAAATCCATTAGATGGTACGTGGCAGTTGGAGGGGTTTGAGATATTATGAAGGCCTTGAGGATGGCTTCCGTGATGGTATTGTAAAGGATGTCCAAGATGGGATGCACTATGGGGGTGACGACTGTGCTGATTGACGTACATATCAGTCGTTATGGCCATATTACCCCGGAAAGTATCAAATTTTTGGAAGAGGGGATTGAGAGAGGAGTCTGATTGATTTGTCTGAAGAATACTGTTCGAAAAACCGTTATGAGTTACAGGAGCAATGTCTCGGAAGGGTTGCATTGACGTACATAGGTGGCACATCCAATATCCTTGTCTGTAATAATAAAAAAGCATAAACAAAATTTCAACTAATGCAAAACACAGTCTATTTGTGGTAATCCTACCCATAAACGCAAGCGGTCACCTGGCGAAACGAAATGCCGGCCAAAATGTATACCGTCCCGCCGTCTGCTTACAATGATTTATTTGCCTTGTGCAGTAAAACAAATGTGCTCTTTGTGATCTTCAAAATGCAGTGCAATGTCTAATAATACGAAATACGCTATTTTGAGGACGAAATAAGGTTTCGTGCTTTCGAATCATTCGGTTTTCATTCCTTGTCGGGTATTTTTTTGGAAGACTAGTACATTTAACGAAGATTGTTTGCGACTGATCCAAATCCCTCACTTTGCATAACTTTGCTTTGAGTCCACGTGTTTGCCAAACACTTCAAAAGACTACAAAAGTTTTTAGAAACTCGCATCTTTCATAGTACCTCGCCAGTCAAATTCTTAGTCAAGAATTATAGGGAATTAGTTTTAAAATCTTATCACATTTGTGAACTTGGCGTCAGACCCGAATGAAAGTACTTCTTCTGTGGTTCTGATGTGAATCTTATACAGGTGTATTTCGCAGCCTTTTGAACTCAATCGCCTATTCCTTGTTTTTCTTCTTACAATAAGATACTTCGAGTTACTGATTGCGTTTATCGTCCACTATCCTACTACTATAAACGGTGGAGCGTCTAAACGTTTCGCATGGTATCGTGGCAACTCCTTTGAAGTATTATTATGCTTCGTCTCAAAAACTTAAGATGTCTAAAACTCTACAATAACTGTAAATTTGAAATGGTTTCTTTACGTTAACAGGGTCATCACGGAAACTTCCTGCCTGCAACCCTTCAAATATGCATATATACTTATAAACGTTTCAGTCTGTAAAGCCGCAGTATGGTGATACTCTTTATTCGCCTTATTGGTGAGCTATATAATCGACTCCTTTAAAAATAACTAGCTGATTAGTTTAAATTCATCAAAAACAGCTGGTAAAATTTCGCGAAACTTTCTTTGCACGCAATTACGGCTCACGGTTAAACGCGATACTGCCTGATTGAAGACGTGCTCTAAATTTCCATAGCAG